AGAGTTGTCTCTTGACGCCATGTGGGTCCTTTATCTTCCACCTCTGATATGAAGCAACCAGTATCTTGCATTTGGAGATCATTGCTATGACTGCCATCACTAGAAGCCCGGAACTCAGTTTCCAAGCTGATTTTTCTAAAATATAATTCTGATCGGGTCACTCCCCTGCTAAATGAGCTACACTAAATCCTCACTGCTTCCAAGATCAAATAAAAACTCTTCTGTTTGACATTTAAAGCACTTATTACTGAATTCCTTTACCTACCTCCATTCACTATACAATCTAGCTCACTGGCTTATTTGCCACCCCTTGCACACAACACTCTTATTTTAAAGTCTCTGTTCCCTCTACATTGGTTATCCCTCATGCTTTGCCCCCTCACCTACAACTCTTTCCTTGGCTCCCTTCAAAATTTTGCTGAAATTTCACATTCTCTTTTTTTTTGGGGGGGGTAGGCAATGGGGTTAAGTGACTTGCCCAGGGTCACACAGCTAGTAAGTATTATGTGTCTGAGGACAGATTTGAACTCAGGTCCTCCTGACTCCAGGGCTGGTGCTCTATCTACTGCACCACCTAGCTGCCCCTGAAATTCTACATTCTTTGGGAAGTGCCTTTAACTCCTAGACCCCCTTCTATCTACTTTGCATGTGTATGCATCTAACATTTGCATGTTGTCTCCTGGGTTAGTATATAAGTTCCTTGAAGGCAGGGAATTTTTTTGTTTTTCTTTCTATCACAAGCACTTGGCACCAGGACTGGCTTGTTATGAGACCTTAATAATTGCTTGTTGACCAACAGAATAGGGTGGTACTGTGGATGGAAGGGTGAGCCTCAAGTCTAGAAGACATGAGTTCAAATCCAGCCTAAGATACTTACTCAGTTAATCTCTAAGTTTCCTTGACTATAAAATGGAGGATAATACTAGCTTCTACCTCACAGGAAAATTGTAAAGATGAAATGGAGATATTTGGAAAAAGTTTAGCACAATGGCTGATCCATAGGAGGTGCTAAATAAATGCTAGCTATTATTATTATTACTATTATTATTTTTATAGGGGCAGCTAGGTAGCGAAATGGATAGAGCACTGGATCTACAATTAGAAAGACTTGGGTTCAAATCTAGCCTCAGATACCTACTAGCTGTGTGACTCTGGACAAGTCACTTAACCCTGTTTTCTTCTCAGTTTCTTCATCTGTCAAGTGATCTGGAAAAGGAAATGGCAAGCCACTCCAGTATCTCTGTCCAGAAAACCCTAAATGAGGTCATAATGAATGGGACATGACTGAAATGACTGAACAACAGCAACAACAACAATAATTATCATGCCTGCTTTCTACCCACAGCTAGTGTTGGCACAGCGCCTAATAAGTAAGGATACATTTGTATCCCGCTATGACAAATCCCCTTTCCACTTTCCACTAGGTGTTCAATCTCACGTTAGCCATTCATTCCTTGGCTGTTATCTTTTCTAACAACACCGCATGGATGAGAAAGAAATTTCTATCCTTCCACTTGCTCGTGTGGGTTTGGCCATAGGCAGAAATGGCTCAAAGTCTAGTTCTAAAATCTTCAGTTTCATAAAGTATTTTCTCTTTAATCCAAACCTGAGTATTACTTGCCTTCTTAGTTATTTCAAATGCTTTTTCAAAGCATGAGGCCTCTTCCAGAATTCTCTAACACTATAGAGCCTGCAATTCTCGTAATTCACAGCGTGGGTACATCCATTTAGAAAAAAGGGAGAAAAGCCACCCTTCTGCTTATGCCTATAGTTCTCTGATGAGAGTACAGAAGAATCTCAAAAGTCCAAGTCACAGAGCAATATTTTTGCTTTTCATGAATAGACACACATCACTAAAACCTAACAGAAGTGCTAGTCAGAATAGACAATTTACCAGCAGACAACAGAGTGGCTTTGATCTTTCTGAAAATGTGGCTAAGAATAGGTGTCTCTACTAGGGGCGTCATCAAACAATTGTTCAACCTGACAATCTTTTAAACATTCAGGATTGGCAGTAGAGGATTTTCTTTTTTCTTTTTGAGGGGAAGAGGTAAGTGATGGGAATGAGGTATAACTTAGATGTAAATGTACTCTGGAACACCTGCTTTTTGTTTTTTTCTATTTAAAATTTTGTTATTTCAAGCTATATTTGGGCATTATTGGCTTTGCCAAAGAAAATATGCTCTAGATTTGATTTCATTTAAATAACTATTATTTATTACATAATCTGGGAGCATAAGATTTTAAGTGGTTTGAATTAGTATACAATGTGGCATTCTTAAATAGCATTGGATTTGAATTCAAATCCTACCGTTCTGTACTTACTACCTGTGTGACCTTGAGTAAACAAGCAGCTTATCCTTTCTGGGCCTTTCCTAATCTTTTCCTAATCTTTCTTTTCTTTTCTTTTCTTTTCTTTCTTTTTTTTTTTTTTACCCTTTCCTATTCTATAAAAGGAGGGGGATAGGACTAGATGACCTTTAAAATTTATTCCAACTCTAAATCTATGATCCTATGATCTTATAATTCTAACAGCCATGACTTGTGATTTGATATGCAGCTAAATTAATTCTGAGGAAAAGACTTACTGTGCAATAGGTCAAGAAAGCAGACATGCAGTGAGGGGAGTCAGGGCCAAAGACCAAGCTAGAGTCAGGGAGAGTAGAACATAGATTGGAAGAGCTCTTAAAGATCAGCCAGTCCAGGCCCTACATTTTTCAGGTGAAGAAACTGAGACCAAGAGAGGTTAAATAACTTCCCCAAGGTTACAGAGGTAAAAGTGGCTGAAGTAGAGATTCTAATTCACATCCTCTGACTCCAAATCTAGATCCTTTTCCATTGTACCATGTTGAATTACTGTATCAAGCCAAGAAATTTGACTAAAAAATAGGAATTTGGAAGTGCATGACAGACTCATACCTAAAAATCAAAGAGGGCTAGGAGTAGAAGCCTGGGTCAAAATGAGCCAAAGGTAATCAAGAAATGTAGGGAAAAACTAAGTCAGCCAGGAGTAACAAGTTAATAGCTGAATGAGTTTCTGATACTGACAAAGTCCTAGTGGATTTTGCTTTCAGAGTGGGCTATATGCCCTCTGCTTCTACAAGGGGTAATATTAGCATCTAGGAACCACATAGAAGACTACTATGATAGGAAAATTACTGCTTCCTGTCCCATTGCAAGGGCAATGGTGGCACAAAGGACAGAGTGCTGGGCCTGGAGGCAGGAAGACTCATCTTCCTGGGTTCTCAGTCATCCTCAGAAAATTACTAGCTCTATGACACTGGGCAAGTCACTTGACCCTGTTTCCCTCAGTTTTCTTATCTGTAAAATGAGCTGGAGAAGGAAATGGCAAACCAGTTTGCTAAGAAAACCCCAGAAGACACAACCAAAAAACCACATTGCAATAAAGCTATGTCTTTTCCTCCCTTGTCTCATAAAATATCAACAAAGTGAAGAGTATTCTGGACTGGATTGATAGGAAGGGTACAAAACCCAGCTCTGACATTTGCTTTGTAATCTTAAGGGATCACCTCTTGGGGCCTCAGTTTCCTTTTCTGTAAAATGAGGAAGTTGGCCTGGATTGCCCCTAAGCTGCCTTCTAGCTCTAATTCTTTGATCCTGTGACCTTAATTGCATGCTTCTGTGACCAGCACTTTTAAAATCAAGTTAAACAGACATAATCCTTCCTTAGGCAGAGCTTACAAAGACAGACTCTAGAGGAGGCCGTGCTATGGGGACCCAAGTCACAAATACAAGCAAGAAAGGGTCCAGGCTTTGCAGAAGTGCTGGGAGCCCTTTTTTCAATTCCACAGTAGAGCTACAAGGCAAATAGAAGGCAGTGAGAAAGTTGCTGACTTGATTTTAATTCCCTTCAATAGAGTTCCATTGAGGGTTAAGAAAAGATTCATAATCTTAGCCCCTGGCTGAAAAAGATATAATAGGAAAGACTATTAAAAATTGTCATTTAAATCAGCTGAATTTACTTGGGAGTAGGAAGAATGACACAAAGGTCCAAATGTGATGAAATCCCTTTTAATTTAGCTACTTAATTAAGTCAAAACTAAAAATAATCCTCATTGAACATGAGAACAATAAATTTACATAAACTTCTGAGTGGTAACAAAAATTCATTAATAATGAAAACTCTTTTCTAGAATAAATGAGACCCAATAAAATATGTGACAGAAGTTCTCCAAGAACTTTAGAAAAACACAATGCATAACATATTCAGAACAGGAAAATGTGCAGTGCTCTGAAAAAAGCAGAGTTCTGTTGACAAAATAAGGGAGAGGGTTACGGTGATCTCCAAATTTAGGCAAGCCCTCCACCTCATGACTGTAGGAATTACAGAAAAGACAGTCTGGGGTAGTCAAAGTCATTTATGAAGGAAAGGTTATTTTCAGTCTAAATACTTCACTTGAAGCCCAGGCCAATGTTTATTCAAACACTGAGACAGTGATACACTCTTATCTGAAGGTTACTTACCCTGTAATCTCAAGTATAAGGAACACATTTAAGAATCAGGAAGTTTAAACAAAACAAACAAAACTCAAACTCCTCCAAAGAGTCTCAGGTCCTTAAGCCTTTGGTAGTGGCCTATTTACTCCCAGAAGAGAGAGGTGATAGACCTACTCTGCTCTGCCTTGGTCAGGCCACATCTGGGGAATTCTGTTCAGTCCCTGGCATTGCGTTTTAGTAATCACACTAACATGCTGGAGAATATCCAAAGATGGAGCCAGTTAGGATGTTGAGGGGTTTCAAAGTTGTTCTTTGTGATCAGGAAAATTTCCTGATTAACGAGTCAATTAAGGTACAGAATCTTTGCTTGAGACTTTGTATTTCATTGACCAAGATTAATAGATTGGCTTGGGTTGTTGTATCTCAGTTGGGTATGAATTGGTTTGGAGAGTTTTGGGTCAATACTATTCTTCTGTGCTGGCCTATAAAAACAATACGATTGGAAATTACCACCAACCTTTTTATCCTTTTGTCTTTTTCAGGAGAGAGGCCAGGGAGCAGTTGGACTAAAAGTACTTCTGGCTGCTTGAGGATATGGGACAGAGAGACGTGTACAGAGCCTCTCTCTCTCATCCATTCACCAGGAACCACTAATGGCTACCTTGGGCCAGAGTCACATGGAAATTATATGTACTCATCCAAATGGCCAGAAAAGAGAGTTCCTTATCGTCAGGTAATAGAATTCACCCTTGGAGATGGGACAGATTGATGGTACTTCTAAGGGAACTGAGTCCCAGCCTCATGGGGAATAGAAAATTGTACACATCCCTGCTTCCCTCACCACAAACTTTTATCTAAAGGAATAGAAGGAGATTGAAGCTATAAAATGGGTGATCAAAAAACCTTAATCTTCACCTAATTCAGATGGTGTAGGTCTCTCAAAGCCAGAAGGTTGTTTCCCTTATGAAGTGAGTACAAGCCACAGGATGCTATTGCAGGAGATAATCTATGGCTTGGGGCAAAGGTGAGACTCACCTGACAGGGTCTTTTATATAGTTTTATATAGTTTCTGTATTTTTCATGGGCTGTAATAAAGGTTATTGGGTAGTCAATATGCATTGTTACCTTTTGCTTTTACTAAATCTGGGTGCCTTTCTGCCTACAACTGTGGAGACCCAGACAGGAGCTATTTTCAAGATCCATGCCAAGATTTCTCAGTAAGAATTCTATGTTGGGATGAAGTGAAACAAAATGAAATGCCTAGCAATCTCTCCCCTAGTTCAAGCCCAGTCTGGGTAATGCATATGTGTATGTGTATGTATGTATGTATGTATATTGCACATACATATATAGATATACACAAATGCATATATGGATTAGTTAAAGACATTAAAGATGTTCAGTTTGAAAAAGAGAAGATTCAGAGGACATATGATAGCTAACATCAAAGAACTGAAAAACAGGCATGTGAGAGAGAAATTAGAACCATTCTGCTGGGTCCCAGAATACAGAACTAGGAGCATTGGGTAGAAGTCACATAGATTTTGACTAGATGTGAGGAGAAACTTCCTGTGAATTAGAGGCAACCTGATCTAGAGTGTGATACCTTAGGGGATGGTGGAATCCATTTCACTGGAGGTCTTCCAGCCTTTGCTTGAAGACTACTTCACAGAAAGATAGAACTTCCGAATTGGAAGAGACCTCAGAAGCCATTTAATCTAATTCATTTTCAGAAAATGAATCCTACAGTGTACCCATGGCATAACCATCCAGCTTTTTACTTCCAAGGAAGGGCAACCCACTACATTTTTAGGCGTAAATTTTAGTTTTGGATAGAAAGTTTGGAAGTTTATCTTTAAATCAAACCTAAATGTATCTATTTTGCAATGTTCCCCTCCCCCCCATTACTACTGCTTCTGCCCCCTGGGGCTAAACAGAGCAATTCTAGTTTTTCCTCCAAATATTAGGCCTCTGGTGTTCAAACACACCACTTCTCACTGGAGTTTGTCTTCTCTAGGCTGACCTTGAGCTCATGTAATATGAACTTGAGGCCTTTCACTATCCTGGTTGCCATCCTCTGGATAATCTCCATTTTTCCAGTGTCCTTTAAAAGCATAAAACTTAGAGCTGAACAATATGTACAAGATGTTCCTGAACAGGGCAGAGAACAGTGAGGATATCATTTCTTTATGTCTAGAAGTTAAGCCTCTCTTAATGCTCAGCCCAAGATCACACATGCTTTTTTCTGGGCTGCTGCATCACGCCATTAACTCATATTACATTTGTAGTCCAGCCAAGTCCCCATCTCTTTTTCACACAAATCATTGTCTAACTACGTCTCCCCTATGTCCTACTTATGAAGCCAATATTTTTGAACCCAAGTATAAGACTTTGTGTTTACAGTTATTAAATATCATCTTATTAGATTTCACCCAATGTTTTGTACTATCTAGATCTTTTTGAATTCTGACTCTTGTCATACTACGTATTCCCCCCCAGCTTAGTGAAATCATCAGATTTCATAGGGATGCTGTTTATTTTCTTTTTATTGAAAAGTTATTGATGAAAATTTTAAAATGATACAGGGCCAAGTATGGATCCCAGGGGCACTCTGTTGGAGATTGTCTTCTAGGCTGATATTGGACCATTCAGCCAATTCCAAACACATCTTATCACACTACAGTCTTGCCCACATTTTTGCTACAAGAAAAGAATGAGGAACTTTATTCAATCCCTTGTAAATCTAGATAAATTACAACTACAACATTTCCCAGATTTACTAGTTTTATAACCTTTTAAAAAGGTTAGTCTAGTCTAATTTGTGTTTGCTGAAGCTATTTATTCTTGTGATTATTGTTTCCTTTTCTAGATATTCACTAACCATTCCTTTAATGACATATTCTAAGTTTCCCCAGGAATCAAAGTCAAGTTCATTGGCTTGTGGTTAATAAGTTTCATTCTCTGATATTTGGAAAATTATTTGTTGAAAATTGGCTTAATGTTTGCCTTTTTCCAGTCCTGAAGTACCTTTCCTGTTCTTCACAGTTAAATATATGTATACATGTACACATATTATACATATGAATATTTAACACATGTATATATGCACACATACATATGTACATACATGCATACATGCACGCATATTTATATTAGCGGCCCAGCAATAACAACAGCCAGCGTTTTTGGTAGATAAGAAGTAGTTCATGTAGGTCTGGTAACTTATTAGGGCAATTAGCTGTTGTTTTACCATATTCCCATTTATTTTAGATATCAACTTTCTACCAGTCATTTATGTTTTGTCCCTCCGTGTCCAAAGGCACAAAGTCTTCGTGGCAAAGAAAATGAATGCAAAATAAAAATTGAGCAGTTCTGCCTGTTTTGGTCGTCAGTTACCATTTATCCATCTATCCTCAGAAGGAATCCTTTCCCTATTTTGATTCTTTTTTTCCCCCATAATGTTGATTTTTAGAAAGTCCTTCTTGCCCTTTCAGCTTTCTTGGCAGCTATTATACAGTTCTTGAAGAGTGAGCCACACTTTTGTATTTACCTCCTATTGCTTGCTTTTGTAATCCTTTGTATACATCTTTTAAGAAAATTAAGTAGGTTAATAAATACTCAGTACTTCTGCATCAGTTTCTTCAAACAATTGTTCCTTTCCTTTTCATCAGAACTGTTTCTCTTCATTCTCAAAATTTTATTCTTTAAAGTTTCTTCTTCCTGGTCAGTCTTTCCCTATAGAGACTGAGGCAAAGAGAGGAGGTTAAGTGACTTGTACAGGGTAACACAGCTAGTAAGTGTCTGAGGTGGGATTTGTGCTCATGTATTCCTGACTCCAAGTCCAGTTCTCTTATCCACTATGCTACTATACCATTTTCTGTTATTGTACACCTCCATCTGGGGTGTTATCTCTGAACCTCACTTTCTTATAATTGCTTTGAGTTTTTTAGGGTTTCAGTTTATGAGGATGTATTAACATCTTTACAATGCTTCAAATGCCATCTCTGACACTTACTAGCTGTGTGCCTCAGTAAGTCACTTAATCTTAATGTGACTCAGGCAATGACCAGGACTTTTCAACAAAATCGTGGATTCATTTGTTCATTAAAGAAGCACTTATCAAGCATCCAATATGGTCTATGCACTGGGTATACAAAGGCAAACAAAAAACAACATGCCGAAACAGTCTCTGCCCTCAAGGGGCTAACATTCTATTGGTCATAGGTTGCAATTGGTATGGTAGAGGGGATCTCATACAAGAGTTCCCCAAGTTGATGACATCACAATTCCTTCTCATATTGTACATATATGCAGACACAATATATGATTATGTATGCATCCTATAAATGTGAGCTATTATGTACACAAAAAATAACTTTAAACAATAACGAAGACATAGACAAAAGGTCATTGGTTCAGCTTCTCTTCCTAAGCAATAAAACACAACTAAGTTCTCTGGGGAGAAAGCATGATACGATGCATATTTACTCTAGTTACATTTTATGTTAATGCGATACTATGATTTACCAGATTATGGGCCATTTTAGAAGATTCTCACTACTCTAGGACACCTTGCAAAGCCAATGCATTGTTTAGTGTCAATCATGGTGATTTCTTGAAGGGCAGAGAGGAAGACTTGCAATATATCAAAGGAACACATTCTTCGCTAAATCTGCAGTGGGATAGAAGGAGAGCAACAACTGATTGCTGAGGGATGGGGGAGGTCAGGCAGCTCAGAGAAGTCAAGTACAGGAGCTCCAGCCTAGGATGTGTCAAATCTCCATGATAATGGGATTGCATTAGAAAGAAAATCAATATGATAAGTGGCTCATTTGATGATGTAAACTTCAAATTCATGAAATTCCTCTATGATATAATAAACTGAAAGGGATTGCAAATTCTCCAGGGAAGGGAAGAATAACAGGTACTGGTTAAATAGATGAACCAGGAAACTAAAGAGGAGATAGCCCAGTCATTCAAAAGAATGCCAGACTTGGACTAAGGTGATATGGACTTCAAGTCTAACTCACTGATTTAGTGTGTGAGCCTCACAAATAATTTTATCTAGAACTTCAATTCAACAAAATTATTATTTATCATTCTTTAAGTGCCTGTTGTGTACAAGGCATTATACTATGTTCTGGGGGCTACAAAAAAAAATCCACAAAAAGCAAAACACTCCCTGCTGTGGAAGTGCTTCTATTCTATTGGGCCAGGGAAGGATGGAAATGCAACCTGTATACAGAGAGACAACCCATCATTTGAAGTAGACAGTGAGTACTAACAATTGGGAAGGTCAGGAAAGGCTCCCCAGAGGGAAGTGACACCTAAACTGAGCCTTTAAGAAAGATAAAGATCCTGCAGAGAATGTGTCCTAGATATGGCTTTGTGCAAATGGGCAGAATCAGCAGATGAGATGGATATTCTATATCAACCAATCAAACAATAAACATTTTTATGCACCTATTTTGTCTCGTCACTGCACTAGGCTCTGAGTATGCAAAGACAAAAAAAAAATGAGACTGTCCCTTCCTCAAAGATCTTGTATTATATTAGAGGAAACAATTCATATATATGTATAAGGATATACGAAATATGTAAAAAAAATACATACAAGGTAATTTTTAGAGGGGAGGTGCTGTCAGCTGCAGTGTATCAGGATATATAGGAGAAAAGGAGCCAATGTGTTACCAACAATGTTTTTTTTAAATTACTAAACTTAATGGTCTTTCC